GGTCTACTCCACTTCCTTGTTGCCTGCTTAGACTCTTGGCACTCTTAGGTGAGCAGACTTAGTCAGCCTGTGTTGCCCTAACAGCCTTGTAGGAACTGCACCATGGTTAGGAACTACTAAAACATTGAAGAATAACCACTCACATCTTTATTCTCTGCCTGCAAAATGCTTGGATGCCCAGTAGCTATAGCTGGGATGTGCTCCACCATTCCATACTTGTGATGGTATTCAATGGTGCACTGCACCATTCACTTTGCAAGACCAGTAAGCAGCACAATGTTGTTGACTGAAAGGATGATGCTCATTTGGACAATGATTAGCTTCACCTCAGTTAACAGTATCTGGCTGGTCATTGCATCTGCCCTTCATGTAGAGTATATGTCATGGGGAGTGGAGAGGGTGGTTGTCTTCATTGGCATGACACAGTGTGTGCTACACTGAACATGTCATTTGCCTCCATCACATAAGCCCCTCTGCATTATCACTTCTGATAGCATGCTCACCTTATTCACTTATTTCCTCTGCTCTCTCAAATTTTCCTGCCTCAAACACCCCATGCAGCCATAGAATATACTCTCTAATATATGCCCTTCATTTTTCTAGAGATCAATGTTTGAATTGCAACTTTGATTCTTCCAATATGCTTATGATCTCTGTTATCTGTAGCTTCTCAGATATTGATGTTTTCCAGTTTCTGAGTTCAGACAGCCCTGGAGACTATGCTTGACACCAACTTTTCTCTTTCAATCATGTTGATGTCTGTTTTTTTCATTGAGTTATCATTCTCACAAGATTCTACCTTTTTTTGGAAAATTTTCCATGTGACCATGCATGCCATGACTTATGTAAGCAGCAATAAAATAATTACACAAGAACTTTGATTTGTGATTCTGTTGAGGTATTTCTTCTGATGCCCCATTTTCAGAAACAAAATATGTGTTATGCCCCTCCAGATGCATTTTCCCCAAATGCCCCATCTTCTTCAAGGGTTTATGGCATTAGCAGTGGAGAAGCCCAGGAGAAGCCTGCCTAAAATCCCTGAAGTGTGAAAGGGTAGCTCAGGGGTCTGATTTAAAATCATGCTCATTTATCTGAGGATACACTCTGTGAAAAATTGAAAGAAGTCTCTCTATATGTCTTATTATTTATATCTATTGATTTCTTCTTTGATTTTCTTTCTTTTGTAATTTTCTAAGTGAATTAAGAACTAACTCTGGTCAAGCAGAGGCCAGGACCCCTAGGTGACCCATTTTCCCCTCTTTGGGGTTTTCAGCACAGCTTCTAAGCTCCCAATGCCGTGACCCCTTGAAGAAGAGGACATTGGGGTAAAATGCGTCCGGAGGGGCATAACAGGTATTTTGTTTCCGAAAACGGGGCATCGGAGGAAATACCTCTGATTCTGTTTCATCCCCTCTAAATGCTGTGTAATAGGGTCCATATCAAATAGGCATGAATGGAATTCAGCGGACAGAACCGTTTGAGCACAGACCCCTAACGAGCTGTCCCGTTACGGCCTCCGTAATGAAACGCGAGAGAGAGGCGGTTACGCCCCTTGGGGGAAAAGCTGGTAAGAGCCCGCTTGGCGGGGGTTTGGACATCTGCAAGCTGAGCTTCTTCCAAGCGCTGGACGGTACGCTCCATTCTTGAATCACAATGACTGGAGCTGATTAGAACTTTATGCAGCAACTAGACCCAACTCCCTCATAAACCTATCATGCTCGTATCGAAACTCATCGTCTTATTTCCCATTGCTCTTGTCATTTCTGCGATTCCCATTCCCGCCCCCGCCCCCATCCCCGTCTCCGCTACTCCCCCATCCGCACCTCTGTTTGACCGAGGTCTGCAACCCACAGATTCTACAGGAGAGCTCCAGCCCCGGTGGTTCACAACCATACAGAAGCACGCCTCCACCTTGCAAGCGAATGCGTACAATGTCTACAAGAGAATACGCCCATGTCCTTTCCAAGTATGTCCTACCCGTGCCAGCAGAAGCATGTGTATTGATTGGATGTGGGCAGCTAAACCAGGCCGTCGTCTGGAACGAGAGCCAGGGTTGGATTGTAAGGAAAACTGAGGAAGACGGTGTAAGTGATAATCACCTCCCCCTTTGGTGATAAACCTCTGACGGGAGTGAAGCGTGTTGCATTCTTTGTCCTACTGCCCTACCCGAAGGGGATGCATGAGGTAAAGATCCCTTGTTCCGAGTTGGAGCGTGCGCCAGTTGGTGCCGTACCAGGTAGTGCAGCTTGACCGGAATGATAGCGAAGGGAGTTTGCGGTGCAGTCTTCCCCATGAAGAAACTGCGTTATGACATGGACGCTGCAGCCAAGTTCTCTCGTGATCCGTAGCTTGTAAACAGTACAGAGTAAACGAACGTTGCACCCTCTCGATGTTTTGAACAGAGCGAGCCTCGTGTGCGAAGCTCAGTCAAGCGGCCACAGCGGCCCTTCTTGCGTGTTATCACTCAACCACGACTACATGAGCACACTCGCCGTCCACACATCTTTCCTTCACTTAGCTCTGCCTGTCCTCAACTTACTTTCAACTAAGAACAAACGGCTGTCTCCTGCTCCATCACCGATTAATGTCTCCATCACCCGTATTAACTAACACCACTGCCTCTGGGGCGAACTACGATCCAATGGCCTTCCCCTCCACTCGTACGGCAACCAGAAAAGAAGTCAGTAATAATCGAACGATACCAAACGGCCGAGAAGAGGGGTGGAGAGAAGGATGGCAGAGATGATGCAGAGGATACGGACGTACCAAGCGTACTCACGTCACGGGGACGGTTGAAGGGATGACCACAGGTGTGCAGTCTGGCTCGATCATGGTTCTTATGACTACATCTCGTCTCCGGCATTTGTCTGGACATCCTGGACATGGCGAGCCTACAACTTGGCTGGTATGCCGGGGGCAATGAGGGAGCTACTACTGCTAATGTATCTGTCAGCGGTATGATACACACCCTCACACGCATACCCCTGCTAGTATTATCCACAGGCCGGCGATATTCACCGCCTCTGAGCCCCTTGAACCTCGGGGAGTACATCGCACGGGCCGAGATTCTGGACACGCTGTGCGCAACAGCATCCCTTTAACCAGATTCTTTTCGTGGGTGGACTCGTATTACCCAGTCATCTTCTTCTGCGCAGGTGTTGTTCCTGACGTCCCGCCTCATGCGCGACTTGCCGGGGAAAACACCGTGGAGGGTATCCTGTTTGGAGTTATCGTCTAAAGTACAGCTCCGCGTCGCGTTTTCGCCGATAGTACGGTGAGAATTTAGAAATCTACAATGCAGTTGATCCCTGACGCGTCCGTGCATTGTTTTTGAACACGGGGTCAGAGATTCAACAAGCACTTATCAATATGAATGATATGATCGGTCCCTGCGAGTTGGCAACCTTATTGTTTGATTTCTTTCCCTAGTTCGCCAGACCATGTTTCAGAACCACGGTTGTTTCAGGTCCCAATTGCAAGCGCAATGTCAGACGTGGACAAGTGATGCAGGCATGAATGGACACATTGTTACATGACATGAACTCAAAACCTGCTAGGTAAGTGCCCACTACGCGAAAAAGGATGCAATAACTGTTGACACTCGCAGGG